GTGGTGCTCCATCATTGACTGAGTACACCACTACTTGCACTACCACCAACTCTGATGGTTCTGTTTCTACCAAAACTGGTGATGTGATTGTTACTACTGACACCAACGGTCAATTGACTACTACCACTTCTTTCTTCACAGGATCTGTTGCGCCAGTTTTCACTGAATACACCACTACATTCACTACCACCAATTCTGATGGTTCCGTTTCTACCAGAACTGGAGATGTTATTGTCACCACAGACACCAACGGTCAATTGACCACCAGAACTTCGATTATTAGTGGTGCTCCATCATTGACTGAGTACACCACTACCTTCACTACCACTAACTCTGACGGTTCCGTTTCTACCAGAACTGGTGATGTTATTGTCACTACTGACACTAACGGTCAATTGACCACCAGAACTTCCATCATTAGTGGTGCTCCATCTTTAACTGAGTACACCACTACTTTCACTACCACTAACTCTGATGGTTCTGTTTCTACTGGTACTGGCGATGTGATTGTCACCACAGACACTAACGGTCAATTGACTACCAGAACTTCGATTATTAGTGGTGCTCCATCATTAACTGAATACACCACTACCTTCACAACTACCAATTCTGATGGTTCCGTTTCTACCAAAACTGGAGATGTCATTGTTACGACTGACACCAACGGTCAATTGACTACCACCACTTCCATTATTAGCGGTGCTCCGTCATTGACAGAGTACACCACTACCTTCACTAGCACAAACAGTGGTAGTTCTGTATCCACCAAAACAGCAACAAACAATGAAGGTGGAGTTTACTCAACTACTTCGTTGATTACAAAAGGACGGTCAAGTTCTTTCTTTTCGGGATACTTCAATACTAGTTCGACATCCCTTGCAGAGCAGAGTTCTCGTACAATTTGTTTTAGAGATGGTTCTCATTGTGTGATTGTTAGTTCTAGTGACACATTAACATTGGTCACAAGTTCCTATTCAACTTCATTACCGTCATCTAGAACTGCGATTGACGATGATTCTGGATCTGGTAACAATCCCAGAGTGGGTAACGAAGTTGGTGCTGGAAGGGATGGTTCCGGGAGCAATGGATCTGTTTCTGATACTGTTAAAGTCTGGCCAACTTCTGGATCTGGAAATCACATATCTGGATCTCACTCTACTACTTGGGGGTCTAGTTCTGGTTCGGACGGATTAGAGCCTGGTTTCAATGGAGTCGGTGGCTCCGGTAATGGCTCGTTGTCCCCATCTTCGATGGCCTCCCCGCCGACGGTCTCCCCTTCGATGGCCTCCCCTTCGGCTTCTCTGTTGATTACCATACCAAATGGCAGTGCATCTTTGAAGTTGAATAAATTCATTTCTTTGTTGATGTTAACACTGGTTTACATATTTATCTTATAAGTGGGTTCGTCCAGAAAGTGTTTCTATATGGTCTTTTTAATTTACTTTACTTGCAATGAAGATTTTGTAGTTACTGATTAGAATGTACTTTCGAATTGGAGAATGCTTCGGTGACAAGCGTTGGTACTGGTGTAAATTTTTAATACCCCTAACTTCGTCGATGAGGAAACTATCCTTACAAAGAACAATTACTCAAAGTTTTTCTATGCTAATAGCATGTACATGAGGTGATCGAATATCGAAACAAATGAAAAGGAGTGTGATTTAATTTCTACTTCATTAACCTCTTAATTATTCTTCATACCAGTATCTGTAGCAATACTAATTCTCAAACTATACCAACATCAAGAGAAGATACGTGACAGAATAAATAAATAGGTCAGTTTGAAGTTTGAGCTATAATGTCACTCGACTATTTTGATGTTGACTTTCTCTTTGATAATTGTATCTTGGACACTAATTTTTATTTCTTTAATTTTCATATCATTGATCAGTTTTTACAAAATTCTGATATATTTGGAAAATATTTCCTTTCAAATAACATGTTTGTCCGTTTACTACATTCATATAAACATTCGGGAAATTTTAATACTGTAAAAAGAACCGTGTACAACTTTAAGCGGCAGTAAGTGACTATGTGGTGAAGAAAACTAGATTTAATATTAAGTACAATTACTTGTGACAACTTAATTTCCACTCAAAGTGGGCACCATTTCTTCTGAAGTGTTCCAGCCCTAAACAAGATCAGAAAAAGATGCTTCAGAATTGTTGTGAATTTTGCTACAATCTCTACCAACAAGAATTAAGAATAATTCATCCTGCTCCCCTCTGCTAACGTTATGCTAGATATTTTTTCTAATTTTTAAACTTTGCTATATGTATTCATGTTCTATCAATAGGTTCTGGAATGGATAGGTTCTAGTCAAGCTCAGAATTAACTTTACGTTGGTAGCAAACTATTTCAACATTTGGTGGTGTGTGATTGCAAGCGCAACTTCATTTTGCTGAATTGGGAATTCCTTCCCCAAATAACCACCCTTATATTCCTTCGACATCTGCCCCCAATGATTCCGTTAATTGTAAAAGCTATGGCGTTCTACATTAAAGTTTGCGTGGTAGAAAAATTTTCAAATTCTCCAAAACTTACGAAGCAAAATGTGTGCCCAACATCCCAAACTAGAATTATTGATTCCGCTTATTGGTTGCAACTCACAGTATTAAGTGGTCTTTGTTCTGGTTTCGAGGAAAGGTTCACATATTTAAATTATCCTATTGTTCTGGTCTAGCACTGTTTTCATTTATTTTTTGTATGCGGTACGTATATTTTTTGAGTTTTTAGAACATTTTCGGAAGACTTAGTAAATTGTAAGTATCTCCCCAATTCCCGAAAGAAGCCAATAATTATCTAGGAACAGTTGGACTATTTCGTGAGCATAGATCTGTTTTTTACTGTTTTAAGGCTTGAATCAGGAAATGTGTGTCCTCGACTTTTTTCAGGCTAGAATCAGTACTTTAGAGCCAACTACTCTTGCAAGGTCAGAATAGTTTGCTGGCTTGCCTAATCTATCTGGAAGCATTGCTTCACACAATCTATGCATAGAGATTATATTTGAAAATTGTTTCTATTACTGCAATACTAGACAAAGAATACGCCAAGTTAAGTTGTATAATTTTAGTGAAATCAACATAATAATTCACCAAGGTTCAACACTCTGTGCCTCTATAAAGCTGAAGTGGTTTTTAAGCCAAGAAGTAGCACTTTAGGGAAGATGAAATCCCAACTAGGTTAGATGCTCGACCCGACTGGTACCCTATTGTTGACGTTTCTCGTTAGTGATCGTTGGGCAAGAATCAACAGCATCTAAACAAAGAGGTTTAAAAGCATAATTGCTAATTGTGAATACTAAGTATTTACCTTTCGAATTGTCCAAATACGACAGTAATACGATCGTAATTGCAACAATTGAAAGCCGATGTGTCATGTATTTGAAGTCTTCAGTCCATCGGCGAAGACTATTGGACAATATAGTTTGCCCAGTTGAAGGAGTTAATTAGGTATTCTTTGAGCTGTTGCCAGAATCCTTAAGAGGAAATAGTGTGAGTACAGGAAGATATTCCCCAGAAAACCAACTAAATTGTGAGAGCCAATCATTTGTTGCATTTAGTACACACCATATGCATGGTCCTGCGGCTCAACATGCAACCTAGCGGCGATTGCCGCACATGCTGATTTCGGCGAGATGTATGAGCAGAAGTGGATTACAAAACAGTCTGTATTGCAACTTCTGAGAGAGGATTTTTTAAGTTTAGCTACTCCACTTCCAATACATGCATAAAATGGACTTCCAAAATAATTTTAACACGCGGTACTTCACCCAAACTGAGAGCAAAAAGAGATTTACGATTATTGCCTGTACAGGATTGCTTCGATGATGTCCCGCAACTTGCTTGGCTCAATTAAATAATATCCGATCCACAGCCGTAAAGGACATATTAAGCCCGGAAATACGATCTTGGAAACTTATTTTTAATGTACGATGATAATAGATAAAATATTCCGTGCTCCTGTTCATAACGTATGCATATGGCTTTGTGTGCGAGAAGAGACTAAAGTTGCAAAATTTATCACAGGATGAAGCATGGTCCAAATAGAGTTAGCCTAAAACCTGTTTACCCCGATTAAACCAAGATATTATGTGAGTATTTTTAGTTATACGACGACCTGGATTCATTTAGTTGCAATTCACGAACTTCTGCTAATTGTTGGGGGCCTTCATTCCAATCCTTGATATAAATAGTCCAGTATTATCCTGATACTGCTGCAGAATCAACTAACTCAATAATCAATATGATGATCAAACACTCGCTTTTAGCATTGGCCTTGTCATTGGCCAGCACAAATGCTATAACTATCACCGAGGATACAATTCAACGTGGTACAATTAATGTTGATATTGGTGGAGTCATTATTGCACCTGGTGTGTACTGGTCTATCATTAACAATGCCTTAACAACAATTGCTGGATCTCTTACTGTTGGCGCTGGAAGTGGATTTTATGTCTCCTCTACTTCTGATTTAGTCGGTTTGACCGTTGGCCTTGCTGGTGTATTGAACGAAATTCAAAACGATGGTATCATTGCTTTCAACTCGTTGAAGTCATTAACCGCTCCTACATATCAATTGGTAGGTGCAAGATTTAACAACGATGGTCAAATGTACTTGGGAGGAGATGGCTCTGTCGGAGTCCCTATCATGTCCCTTACTGCTGCTGATTGGACCAACAACGGTTTCTTGAGTTTCTACCAAAACACTAGATCAGGAGGTGTCGTTACTCTTGGTGCTCTCCTTCCTATCACCAACAATGGTCAAATTTGTCTCTTCAATGAAGCTTATGTCCAATCTTCTCCTGTTCGTGGTAGTGGATGTATCACTGTTGGAGAGGAATCGACTGTTTGGATCCAAAACTCTCTCTTGTCGTTCTCTGAAGATCAAACCATCTACTTGGAATCCCCCTCTTCTGCTATTAGAGTTGAAGCTTTAAGTTTGTCACAAACATTTACGGTCGAGGGATTTGGTAACGGTAACCTCATTGGTTTGAGTTTACCACTTAACCTTGATACCATTCTTACCAAGCCATATGTGTACAATGCAGCAACTGGTGTGTTGACTCTTAACAGTGGTCTTCTCACTCAAAACTTCCACATTGGTACTGGGTACAACCCCAACTTATTCGAAGTTGTCAACGCTAACTACGGTGGTCTTATTACTATTGTTCTTAATGGTGGTGTTATCTACAATGGTCCTCCACCAGCAGCTGGTGCCCCAGCCGCTTGTCAACCATGTAGCACTTTCCCAGAAGCTCCAGGAACCAGTACCACCTCATCGGCTTCCTCCTCGTCTACTGCTCCACCATCTTCAAGTGCCCCTACTTCGATTGCTTCTTCTTCAGCAGAACCAACCTCCAGTGCCGCTCCATCCAGTGAAGCTCCATCTAGTGCTGCTCCATCCAGTGAAGCTCCATCCAGTGAAGCTCCATCCAGTGCTGCTCCATCCAGTGAAGCTCCATCCAGTGCTGCTCCATCCAGTGCTGCTCCATCCAGTGAAGCTCCATCTAGTGCTGCTCCATCCAGTGAAGCTCCATCTAGTGCTGCTCCATCCAGTGAAGCTCCATCTAGTGCTGCTCCATCCAGTGCCGTTCCATCTAGTGAGGCTCCTGGTCCAGGCGGACCAGGCCCATCTAGCTCTGATGCTGCTACTTCCAGTGAAGCTCCAGGTCCAGGCGGACCAGGACCTTCTAGCTCTGATGCTG